GTTCTGTTATGGCGTCTTTGTCCACGTGATCTCCGTCACTCTCCGATTCTGCTTTGCTCACTTCACATCCTCGCGCGCGCGCGCTGAAGCTTAGAGACCAAGGTGGGGGAGAGAGAGAAATTTGAAGAATGATCCCAAGACTTTTATTATTATTATTATTATTATTATTATCTAATTTATTTTCTTATTTTCATTTTAGAAATATACTAAACGTGTCGACAAAAATTTAGTTGTCAACGGACGTGCATCTAAGTGTTCAACAAGAATAAGTAGCGAGGATTCTTAGAGTCTAAAACCACCTTATCAAATTAATATGTTCGGTCAAATCACGGACCTCATTTCAGTCTCCATGCGAAACTAATATGGTTCTTCCACAAGGAAAGCTAGCACAAGGAAAATGTCCGTATCCTTCACAATTTGTTTCTTTTTCCATAGCTAGGTTCTCAGGGTTTCAAATTGATATGCATAAGTTTCGCCAGAACTATGAACTTTTATTCGGTCCTCCTCTCCTGTCATGCATTGTAAATGCCAAATACCAACACTAAAATAAGTACAGTATTTGCTGTATCGCATGATAATGGCACTCTGTGGCTTGTTTAATCCCAAAATCTCAATGAGGAACAGGGCTTCCACCTCCATGTTGAGCACAGTGGAAGTAAGAATTTCTGGACTAATCTCATTGAGCAACGGAGATTCATAAAGCCAAGGCCGACCAATGACGTGAAACTCGAGTCGAGATGACATAGAAAAGGGTATAGTCATTGCAAGCACCGTGCTGGACTAATGTAGCAACCCGAGGGCTGGCATAATTTTGGCAAGCAACATCTCTGTACTAGCGACAACTCTAGTCTTGGTCTAATCGTGACTGAGGTTCTCCATAGTAAAGAAAAGCTCCTAAAGTCACCAGTTCATATTTCAAAAGAAAACTGTCTACCGTACGTTTCCAACAGCTTTCCTTGTTACTTTCCCCGTCACCTTTTTCTTTTTTTCTTTTGTTTTTATGACAAGGAATCGCACCTTGAGCGAGTAAACCCTAACTCGTGATATACACTAGTGACAAGCCAAAGCGATATAAAAGCTTGTACTTCCAACTAGTAGGTGGAGTCATCGACACAGAAAATCTGCGACAAAAGGTAAGTTATATGCGGCAATGATATTTTCAACAATGTCAGCGAAACGTCATTCTACTACAACAAGCAGATGGTGAATAAAACTGCGAACCTCAAGGGTTAGACTTACAAGCCACAATTTGTCCAAGTGCTTTGCAAGTGTTTCTCCCAACTCTTTTTGCCAATTAGGTATAGCCTTGGCTTCAGATGCAGGCCATACAATTGCTGTCTCGTTTGTAAGATTGACGCGGGTGGCAGATACTTGTGGCTGTCCAATGTTAGAGCAGAAAAAAGAAAAATCACACGGTTAAAATCTTACCACGAAAAATGATGAAAGCCAATTCTCCTGCAATTCTTTCCACCAACATAAGAGATCATTTGTGACCTTATTTCTCTTTACTTTCATGGGAGGACAAGAAGGGTAATCCAGTGGATGACCGTTCTGTCACACTAAGTTTAATTCAAGTTGATGACGATTATTTTTTTTCATATGGAAAATGGACGATCCTAGTTACCTTAGAGAGTATAATAGCAAACTCTCTTCAAGAATTACAAGAAAAAAAAGCAATGGTAAACTCACTTGATTTTTCTACTCGCTGCACATCCCCCACAAGTCATTCCCTGCCGAGACGAAACAGAGACACTAAAGTGACGTACAAACAAAACATGATATGCACTACGGGATAAAATCTTCAGCGATATAAGGCAAGGAAAGCTGAACGTGCATAGACAAAATTGAAGCTTTTTAGCTTGTACATTCACATAAAGTGCGAGAAATATAGAGAAGCGAGGCTTTCTCCGACGTCGAGAATTATGACGTCAGAGGAGACAGCTGAGGCTTCCTCGGCTCCATCCACGACCGATTTTGTCTTCCCATCGTCACCGTCAACTCTGCCGCCTCCTCCTCCTCCTCCGTCATTACCGCCAGCGCCACCGCCATGTCCGCCGAAGGTGGCGAAAGGAGCAGCGGAGCTCGAAACGCACTGCAAATGATACCTCGCGGAGCCGGAGTAGACAAAGGCAAGACCGAATCAAAGCTCGGGCTGCTGCGGATGCGGTCAGCGTGCATGCAGCAGAGTCCGTGAGCGATGAGCCGAGACGGGAGGCATTGAAGATGCAGAGACCTGGAGACGTAGCGATGAAGGCGGAAGCCGAAGGGGTTGAGAGTTGAACGTGGTCACAAACTGCTACCGTCAATAGATTGACCTGTTTAAAAACATTAATTATAGAAAAATTTACTAAATTTTATATGAAAAGTATCTGCGATTGGTAATGTCTAATATATGGCATTTGTTTTGTGAAATATGTGAGAATTTATTTAAGAAGCAATGTTGTGAAAGAACTCCCGACCCGACTTGCTTGTATATTTACGTGTGGATTAAAAAATCTTGTCCGAAGGGTAACTACTGGTGCAATTTTATTTTTAACTAATAAAAGAAATTACTATCTAATATTTAAATTCAATGTTAAAGTGATTGGTAACTCACCAATTTGCATTTCAATTTTATGTATAGTACCAAAATTTTCACCTATGCTACAATACATTAAAATGGTGTTTACCAAGAGTAAATCTGAGGAGAGTAGTTTCCAAATTTACAGGTTATTTGATAACTCGATGAAAATTAAAATATTTAGCACTAAGTAAAATCAAACACATTCGATAATCATAACTAGACTAAGCTTAACAGGTTTAATTAAGTCAGAAAATCACTTTGCCAGACAAGGAAAGGCCACTTAATTCATTTAATAGAAAAAAGATAATTATTGGCACTTAGAATCTTGCTAATTATCTTTGCAAAAACTTATTAAAAGTGCTCCTGATTAGTTAGTTAAACTAGTATGATTTGGTATTCAATATCCAGTTATTATTAAACATATTGTATTTTCATCTTCAACATTGATATAATTGAAAATTAAGTGCTGAAAAATTTTAGGGCCTTGATAGCTTAACTCAAATCAATCAGAAAAATTTTCAAATCCTTAGGGTCATCATGAATTCAACAGAGCTTTGCATTCGTGAAAAATATTCCGTATCCGAGAGAGAACAATTCCGTAAACTATCGGTATGTCTTCGTCTATCCGAGGTTTTGAAATAAATGGAGAAACCCACATTCAAAAAGAGTAAAGGATTCTTTATCGCCGTAGTTGAATTGACAAATTGAAGATTTTCCATTCATAATTTGAAATAAAAAAAGAAGTTATTTTCAATCTATATCAAATTTCACTTGGATAAATGTAATTGACTCCTTGTCAAATAATAAACTAATAAAGCAAAACTCATAAACTTATCTCTGTTCTGATTTCTTTTCCAAAGGATCCCAATTTCAAATTAAGTGGATTTTGGATAAGAATATTTTCGTTTATCATTTTTATTTATTGCTAAACAATTTTCCTTCAAATGGTGTACGCTCTATTTAAAGTAAGTGAAATTTAAAATAAATGCATTATAAAAGAAGTAAGCAAAACTAACTGAAATGTAATTTAGATGGTCCGCAATTTTTATTATTTATATGTAATGCTTAAATATAGTGAATATTACATAGAATTTATTCAAGTAATAAAATAAGTTATCATACATGTTATTTCAATTTTTTTTTAGTTAAATGGATAATTGATGCTTTTGTTCACGTGGTTAACAAGAACTATAAATTATGAGTGTTTTTCATTTAATATGATATAGTAATCTTTTTGAATTATATTCAGATTAAAATGATTAATTATATACTTAAAGACACTTTATCTTCATTTGGTTTTTTTCTCAAATATTAAATCAATGACATAAGTTGGAAGAAGATAAATATTTGGGAAGGATAATCGAATGTATTTGAAGATTTTTTAATTATTTCTTTTATTGGAAGAATACACTTAAGAATAATATACTTGCTCTTTATCCATTCTTAAGCTAAAACTTAAATATAATAAATGATGGACGCTTGAGGATGATAATTATCAAAACTAGTGCCGGTTGGAGAAATATGGGCCATGTGGCACGATCATGCCATATGGTGATCACGGAAACCCATATTCTATCTACTCCGGCTTCGTCCGTAGACATAAGATGAATAAATATTGATATATGCAAGGGTAAATATCATAAAAAAATTCAAATTATGCTCACTGTGACATAAATACCCATAATTTTTTTTGTGTCACTAAAAATCCTAAAATTTCTCATTGTGACACAAATATGCCAAGCCTTTTTTTGTGTAATAAAAAACCCTGAACTTGTATCAATGTGACAAATATACCATGGATTGAACTAAAATAAAGAGTATATATGTCACAAATATATATGTTTACGTTTTCATGCAACACAAAAAAAGTTTGGGGTATTTGTATTATAGTGGGCAAATTTAGGGGCTCTGGTGACACGAAATTTTTTTGGGATATTTGTTTCACAATGGACTTAATTTAGATTTTTTGTGGTATTTTCCCTATACATGATCACCATATTCCTTTTTGTAAGCTTTCATAAATTTAAACATTATTTAAATTTTACGAGAAAGTCATTTATTCATTTCTTATTTTTGTTTTGTTTTAAAAGCCAAAACAAACGGGCCAAGTTTGCAAGAGAGCATGACAAAAGTCCATATTACCAGATGTTTCCAGGTACAAACGGGCCAAGTTTTCTTATTTTCCCTATCTTTTGGGCTAAAGCCAAACAAAGTACATTTATTTTTCATACAGCTCAAGGACAGTGCTCTTTTGCTTGAGATAACGTAACCAAATTTGATCTTCCTTGGATTGCTAAGTCACCAGTCTCCATTACTTGTGGTTTTACTATTGCCAGATTCAAGTTGTCTATGTATGGCAAAATTCCATATCCAATTTCAGACGAAGTAATGGCCATAAAGAAGCCATGATCCGTTTGTAGTTCAGATTTGACATCAACTAAGCAATGACAATGAACTCAAGAAGTTTCTTCCTTATTCCCTGGAGTTTAGCCACTGCATCGCCGACATCCATTCGTTCCTTGGGAGACTTAGAAGAGCATGCGGCTCCTAGTTCGATCATCGAAACCATACACTCCTTAATACTACACCAACTTTTGTTCTTGCCCTCCGGAGCGACTATTCGTCTCTTCTCTGACTCCTCTATTTCTTGAAGTAGAATGGGATCGATTGCCTTCTCCACTCGGTCCGCCAGAGCTGCCTTTACAAAGCGATGAAGGTCTAGCCCATTTTCAAACATGTCATCAGTCGGCCTCTTGCCCGTGAACATCTCCAAAATGAGGACTCCAAAGCTATACACATCTCCTTGTGTGGACACCGTACTTCCCACGCCATACTCTACAGCAATCAACAGCTCATAGTGATGCAAGGTGAATAATTTATTCAAATATTGTGCCGGTGATGTTTCACTTGTCTTTTTCAAAGGATCCATCTACTATAACGTGTTCTATATAAAGAGATAAACTGAAAGGCCTAACTTGTGCATCCTTACCTGGAGCTACGTAGCCAAATGATCCTTTTATTCCGACAGAGCTTGATGGATCGGCTAGTAACTTATGCATTGCTTCTGGGAGGAACCTGGCAAGTCCGAAATCGCCTGCATGTCCAGTCATTTCATCGTCAAGAAGGACATTGCTTGGCTTTATATCACAATGAACAATTGGTGTTTCACAGTGATGATGGAGATAATCTAGTGCACAAGCAACATCAATGGCAATATTCACTCTCTCAAGTAGGCTCAACTTGCTTCTCTCCGTATATTGCGATGCAATTGGGTGCAACCATTCTTCCAAGCTCCCCTTTGGCATGAATTCGTAGACCAGTGCCTTGAAATCATTTCCATTAAAATCAAACCCAGAACATGCCGTGAGTACCTTCACGAGATTACGGTGTCGGATTCTTCTTAAAGCCCCACACTCGGCTATGAAGCTCTTGGAAGCTCCGTGATGTGTCAGGTCAAGAATCTTGATGGCCACGATCGATTGAGTCTGATCAAGAAGCCCTATGTACACAGATCCAAAACTGCCCATGCCGATTAGATTGGTGGAGGAGAATCCACTCGTCGCTTTTCAATAGATTGTGATAAGAAACATGCAAAAGCCCTTCGTCGGAAGAGCTTGGAGCTGATGCTTTCTTATTGTGTCTATACCGAAAGAAGTATAACAAAGAAAGCATGCAAGACAGTCCTACAAGAGCAAAGAGTGTGGATACCATAACTTTTGCAGTTCTGCTTATTCTTCTCTGTTTTGACTCTTTGTAGTCGCATTTCGGTAGTTGAAAATCTGGGAGACCCCCGCAAAGCTTCTTGTTTCCAACAACCGAAGTTGAAATGGCACTTCTGAAAACTCCTCCTGTAGGTAATGCACCCTCGAAATCGTTGTAAGATAGGCTCAAATTCGTCAGATTTAGCAACTCTAGATATTCCGGGATTTGGCCAGACAAACGGTTATTGGAAACATTCAATACTTGAAGGCCTCTCATGGAACTCAAAGTCAATGGTAGGGGCCCTTCAAAGAAATTATCCTGCACATATAGTTGTTCCATGCTTCTACAACTGCTGATACTACTTGGAATCTTTTGAGATAATTTGTTCCCGTTTAAACTTAATATGCCAAGATTTTTCAAGTTTCCAACTTCTCCTGGTAGGGAGCCGGTAAGACTATTTCGAGACAAGTCAAGATAAATCGACAAAGATGAGAGGCCCATAATTCCCGGGGGTATGTTACCGCCGAGGTCATTGGTAGAAAGGTTCAAGAGAAGTAGATTTTGGCAGTTTCCCAGAGACGACAGTATCGAGCCATGGAGATTATTGCTATTCAACATCAATTTGGTTAACATCCTTAAATTCCCGATAGATTCTGGTATTTGCCCCGAGAATTTATTTTGGCCGAGATTCAAATACTTCAGTTTGTTTAGATTTCCGATCTCAGAAGGAATGTTTCTCGATATGTTATTGCCCCTCATTGCCAGGGATTCCAAATTGATCAGATTTTCGATTCCAGACGGTAAGGTTCCAGAAATATCATTGTGACTTAATACAAACCACGAAAGGGTGCTAGAGAGGTTACTTATACAGTCGGGAATTGGTCCTGCGAAAGCATTGCTCTTTATACCTATTGTATCCAATTTTGTGGAATTGATTAAAGAGCAAAGGAAGTCAAGATCAGCAGATTGGCCACTTCCTAAGTTGTTTTCGCTAAATTCAAAGCAATAGAGCCCTCTCATCTTTGAGAAAGAAGGAACTTTCCCTGTAAAGTTATTCACCGCGATTATAATATAAACGAGATTAGAGGCATTGGATATTGACTCGGGAATGGGTCCAGTAAGATGGTTGTTACTCAAATAGATTCTCTCGAGATTCGAAAGAGTGAAACCTAAGTTGTTGGGTAAGCCCCCCTCTAATTGGTTTCCGGCCACATCAAGGATTGTCATAGTGGAAACATTGAAGATTGAGATAGGAATCATACCGACAAATTTATTGTTGCCGAGAGAGAGGAAGTTTAGATTTCTCAATCGGCCAAGAGTCTCTGGGATCATACCACCAAGGTTATTTGAAGCTGCTGCAAAGGCTTGAAGAGATGATAAGTTTCCAAACGACAGCGGAATGTTTCCCATTAAGCCGTTCATTTGAGATATAAATATTTGGAGCTTGGACAAGGAGCCGAGTTCTGGAGACAAATTTCCTTTGAGCATGTTGATGCCCAAGTTAAGAATGAGTAAATTAGAGCAATGGGAGAGATTCGAAGGGATTTGTCCGCCAAAAGAGTTGTTATTAAGGAACAACTGTTGCAACCGAAACAAGCGGCCGAAATGTGGCTGAATTTCGGAGCGAAAATTGTTGTTATCCAGATAGACCAACCTCAGAAAGCTTAGGTTACCAATATGGGGCGACACGACCCCGGACAAGTTCTCGGAGCTGAGGTCTAATACGGTGACTCTGCGGTGTCTACGACCACATGTGACACCGTACCAATCGCAAATGTGGCTAGTATCATTCCACGAGCTTAAAACCCGATCAGCATCAGCTATTTGGGCCTTAAATTCTAGCAGAGCCAGCCGATCAGTCTCATCCCCGCCGGCTTCTACCAAAGCTAGGACACCCCCTAACAGAACAATGATGGTAATTAAGCAAGAGAACGACCTGGATAAACCCCAATCTCTATTGGGAAGGTCCATGGGGATTTGCAGCAAAGCGCCCTCAGCTCGAGTGTCTTTTGGTTTTCTTGCGACATTGTTTCGGAACAATTCGCGAATATATAATACATATTCTCCCATACTAAGATATGTTGATGTCATCAATGCAAGAATAATCGTGCCAGATCTTTTTAGGGCCTCTCGACTTGAGAAAACTACAAGGCCGTGACATGCAAGGTAACGATTGGTGATCAAGTCAGTCAACGAAAGCTGAAAATGCCATGGGGGCCTAGTTTTTTTTTTTTTTTTCAATCGTCTCTTTTCAATCCCTGAATTTCTTGGCCGTTTAGTAGGGGCGACTGCATTAGCCTTTTCCGCACATATAAAATATTGACTTTCTAGTACTCAGAAGGAATATTAACCGTACGTGTTGGTAGGTGTATTTCACAACTTATAATAACCTTTACTTTCATTTATGAATTATAATATACATCTTTTCTATAAATTATACATTTTGGAAGATTGTTTGTTATTATTAAAATTGAAAATAGTGCTTATACATAAAAGAGAGCAAAATCTCTACTCTGGTAAAGAAGAATTTATTTCAAGTTATTACCTTTTAGATCCATGTTGTGCCGGCGTTTAACTTGTTATATTAATATGCAAATTGAATTTTGCATCTTGAATACTCATGGATGAATTACTAATTAATAATGACAAAGTCCGCGCTAATATATCATGATCTTTAACATTTTAATACTGTCTAAAAATTATTTTAATTATAAAAAACTAGGTATTATTTAATCCCAAAAGGTATATAGCCAGTCATAAAAGTAAACAGGTTGTTGTTGGCATAGGATATTTAATTGAAAAAGGGCGATAACTCAAGTCAAGTCAAGTAAACGATCCTTTTTCTCCTTCTTTTGACAAACCGTAAGCGAGACAGTTCACATGGAAAAAGTCGTGGGAACGTCTATCTATTTCATTCGTCCAACCTTTCGTTTGCTCTTATTTCCCTGGAATCAAGGAATTATTAACAAAGACCCAATTAGGGAAAATCATAATACCGGATTTTAGGCAATTATTAGACACACACCACGTGTCCTTACTTGATTTGACTGGTTATGTGCTGGTGCTTGATGGGTGAAAGATAATCCTTCGTTATTGAAAATCCGGGGAGAGGGTGTTCAGTGTTATACTTTCCAAAAGCAAAAGTAGAGAAAAAGACCATAAAAAGAAGGTGAGAATTGAAAGCTATTCCCACGTAAGAAAGCGACTAAGGCGCATCGCATCAAAGTGCACGGCAAGCCAACTTTGCCTTCCACACTGACCAAATTTCCTCCACGTATAGCCCCATCCGATCGTAATTGGAATCACCTAAGACTGTAATTAGGAAATAATTTATTTATTCTTAGCAATCACCTAAGACCAATTAGAACTAGACAAACAAAAAATGAACATTAAGCATCTTGGGAAAAAGACTGCAATTGGGTAATAATTAAGATTGGAGTCGCACGACATGATCCTTATCCAAGGGGAATCAAACAAGAATTGCATGAGAAAGCAATGTGATAGGGTAACGTGGACTTTGTGTCCTTTGGCTAAATCTGCATTCTTTAAACAAAGTCTTCGTCAACAAAGTTAAATTTGATATATATTGAGTTAGATTCGTGAGACTTGTTATATAGAGTTGTACAAATCACCCCTAGACAATAGAATTTGTCAGAAGAAAAATACTAATTAAGTTATAAGGAAAAACTTCTGCAACCGAAACAAGCGGCCAAATTACGGGGGAATTTCGGAGCTGAAACCGTCATTATGCATATTGACTTCCCACATAAAGCTCAGGTTAACAATGTGGGATAGCTTGACCCCGGTCGAGTGACAGGAGATCGCTAGGAAGAAGACAATGCAAATCAAATTGCCACGCTCTCACCAAAGCTTCCAAAAGATCCCCACGTTTTACCGAGAAATTTACTCCATCAGTATGATGCGTGGAAGGTGGGACAGAATTTACCGAGTTAATTGCGCAAAGGAATAGCTTCTAGAGGTCAAAAGAACTTTCAGAATTTTTAAGACCAAAACCACGTTCCATGACGTGAAGGTAACGGGACCGCGTATCAAAACACCACAAACATCCAAGGATCCTGCCGAAAGCTTAGCATAGTTAATATAGTGCAAACTATAGACAGAAAGCTCTCGTATTAAATGGGGATAAGAATGATATGAGTGTCATAACTTTTGTACGGCGCTCATTTGAGTGTCATAATTTTTTTTCGCTCGAGTGCGTATGGTAATATTTCAGATCCTGAGAACAATTTCTGTTCAGAAATAATTTTTTCCATTTATACAAATTTACCATAAACTAATTTTTTGACCACCTAAAATCCCAAACTGATACACCTGTGACAAATTTACCCTATGTTAGTTTCCGTTAAATTTTATTGTCAAGTTGCTAAGTCGGATGACATGTGACAATTGACGGGGTGTTATGGGGTTTTACCCTCAGTTTGTCATAGATATATCAATTTGTGATTTTTTGTGGTATTAATCCAATTTAACAGAAACTAACGGATGGTAAATTTGTCATAAATGTACTAGTTTGGGGTTTTTTGTGGTAAAAAAAATTAGTTTTGGGTAAATTTATCACAGACGTACCAGTTTGGAGTTTTTGGTGGTCACAAAATTAATTTGGGGTGAATTTATCATAAGTGTACTAGTTTGGAGTTTTTGGTGATCAAAAAATTAATTTAGTATAAATTTATCATAAGTATACATATAGGAGTTTTTGGTGATATTAACTCAAAAAGTAATCAAAAAGCGCGAGAGTTCAAGTCAAGTCAACGATCCATCTTCTCCTTCTTCTTCTTCTTTTGACAAGGCGCAACCGACACGGTTCACGTGGCAAAAGTCGTAAAAACGTCAATCTGTTTCATCATTCCAACCTTTTGTTTGCTCTTATTTGCCTCAAAGTGCACGGCGATCTATTTCAAAGCTGTTCACACGTAAGAAAGCGACTTAGGTACATCGCCTCAAAGTGCACGGCAAGCCAACTTGGCCTCCCACGTTTATCATATCTCCTCTACGTGTATGCCCATTCGGTCGTAATTGGATTTACTTCCTTTAATTAACTTCAAATTATCCTTTAATTAGTCGTGACGTCCACGCGAAAAAAGAAAAAGAAAAAATAGTTTTACAATCCTCAAATCTTTTTGACGTGATGTTATTGAAATTAAATCATTTTTTAAGCAATCACCTAAGACCAATTATAACTAGACAAAAAAAAATGAACATTAATCATCTTGGGAATAAGACTGTAATTAGGAAATAATTAAGATTCTTGTCAGACGACTTGATCCTTATCCAGGGGGAATCAAACAAGAACGGCATGAGAAAGCAATGGGACTCGAGCTGTGTTTGATAACTGGCCAAATAGTAACTAATTCTACTCTTTTGTTCCTAGAATTAGTTTTGGAATAGAAATCCGTTTGGTAAATTTTGTGTTCCCGTGCACAAATTTGCACAAATTTATTCCCAGAATCAATTTTGAAAAAGAATAAAAAAGCAAAAAAAAGTTGCGTCTTGATTCTGGGAATAAGAATAAGAAATGGAATAGAAATTTTCTTCTTCTTCTTCTTCTTGCCAGCAACCGGCCATAGGCCAGGGCCGGCGAGGGCGTTGCGGTCCTCGCTGGATCCGGCAAGGGCAGCAACGAGGGTCCAACCCTTGCCAGATCCAGCAAGGTTGGCACTCACCCAAGCCGCGAGCCGCCCTCGCCGGATCTGGCGAGGGCGGTGGCGAAGGCGGCCGTCGCCCAGGCGGCGAAGGTCCAGCCCTTGCCAAAGCCGGCGAGGGCCGCGCGGCCCTCGCCGGCCCGGCCTGTGGCCGGTCGCCGGCGCCGGCGCCAGCGCCCAGCACCGGTGACCTAGCCATGGCCAAGGAAGGGGAAAAAGAAAAAAAAAATTAAAATATTGTTAATTAAAAGAAATTTTGTGCAGTACCAAACACATTTCTGTTCTTTTTCTATTCCATGAATAGAAATTTTGGATAGTTACCAAACGCTTTCAAATGCTTAGAAATTGTTCCCCGGACACGGAATCAAAAAGAACCATTTCTTAACAGAAATTATTTTCGGGAACATAATGATTGCCAAACGCACCCTAGGTGACGTGAGACAAAGAGGGACACGTGAAATTATTGTGTCCTTTGTACTAACTATGCATTCTTTAAGCAAAGTCTTCATCAACAAATTTAAATTTTATATTGGGTCAGATTCGTGAGACTCGTTGTGTAGAGTTGTCCACATCACCCCTAGACAGTAGAATATTTAAGAAGAGAAAAACTAATCAAGTGTAATAGGCTAAAATTTTGTTGGTGTGCCCTTAGTAATCAAATAGTATGCAAAAAAAAATTGAGGATAGAAAGAATATGTACGCTATGAAAATAGAATAGTGAAAAATGCAAAAATTCTTGAATAAGGTACGTCGGTTCCAATTAATTACATTCTGAGCAGAAGGGATTTAATTAGAAAGACCTATACAAATTCAATGACCTCATGAGACAGACAAAAGTTGAGAGGATTTGATCGGGAAAAAATGCTCAAATTTAGGGATCAAAAGTATAGTCTTGAAATTTGAAAAAAGCATACAGGGGATATGAAACAAATTGACTTTGAACAATAAACAAATGTAGATAGATGTATATTTTTGAAGCGTGATTACAGGGACAAACCAAGTTAATCAAAGGAAGGATCACACTACTTTGCCAACAACATGCATGAGCATGAACTCGAAGGAGAGAGGATCAAGTTATGCATGTGACTAGCCCTGAGGCTAAAGAAACAACTGTGAAGAAAGTCACGCACAGGATAACAGAACATTGACAGAATGTCCTGTCAAGCCCTAACTGAAAATTTCCCGACAGTTTGGTAAAATTCCTGCTGAGCACATTGATGAAATTGCAAATGTGATCTCCAAATTTTTTCCACCATCATAGCGGGATAAGAAGATATTCATTTACAGAGCCATTGTTGACAATTGACAATAACCACATCTAGGAGCCAGAGTCACTACAGAGAAAAAGACTGCCCACTGAAACGGGGATGATCAGCTCCAGTTTTTGCTTTATGCCAAGAGTACACCACATCTTGGAGCCAGACTCAAATCTCAGATTGGAGCAAGCACAACTTCTAACAGAATTAGAGGAAACTACAACATCAATAAAAAATGACCAGCTGAAAGTGCGTGGCAATGATCATTAATGCAGAAATGCAAGCAGATGCACGGACAGCTGCTCAAGCAAAAAGAACCATGTATTTATAAGCAAAACTGCCGATTCGGAGGGAGAGCCGTCATTACACCTTGAAGGGACACTTATCCAGGAAATCTAACAAGATAGCAGCACCACTGACAAGAAAGAGACCAGCGATCTTCCACTGAAGATGGTGATAAGAGATGGGAGATCGCTAGGAAGAAGACAATACAAATCAAATTGCCATGCTCACCAAAGCTTCCAAAAGATCTCCACGTTTTACTGAGAAAGGAACTCCTCCATCAGTACAATGTGTGGAAGGTGAGAGGGAAGTTTACTGAGTTAATTGCATATAGGACTTTTCAGAATTTTTAAGACTAAAACCACATATCCTATGACATGAGAGTAACAGGACCATGTATCAAAAACACCACAAACAGCGAAGAATCCTGCCGAAAGCTTAACAGAGTTAATATAGTGCAAACAATAGACAGAAAGCTCACATGCTAAATGTGTATGAGAAAACATAGAGGTTACCCGCTCAAAAAGTTAAGACATTTGAAAAATAGTAGCCAAAACAGGCATTCATTTCTAAGGCAGAGATTTTGCAAATAGAAAAGGCATAAATTCCACAGGTGAATCTCTTGCTCTATCCACAAAAGAGCCATCTAGACACCATAAAGCTGTTTGCATTCCACAGTCGCAAATGCCAATGAAGAAGTCAACCAAGATTGATCTCAGATGCATTTGCAATTGCTAAAGCAGGTAACAGAAAGAGAATCCAGTACCCATCATAGCATTGAAAGAATAAGGCCAAATTTGATTGTTGAAAGTGAAGCAAGCAATGTCATCAGACCAAAACATCAAAATGAGCATTCACGGACATTAAACAGTTGAATCTTTTAGCCATAGTTCGCACATCGAAAGACTAATCAAGCCGATTTGTCCACCCAGACTACCACGAAGAAGAGATACAACAGAAGAGACTTTGACACCTCCAGCAAGTAACAGCAGTACCTCCAATTACTTTGCTACAATCACAAAATATTTTTCAATCAGTACAGAATCAACTGCTTTACTATGACTGGAAACAATTGCGTGCATACCTATCAGGAGTGTTCTCTTTACCCCAAATGGAAGTTTCCTGTACCGAGATGTTCACAGAGACTAGAACGGTCCCGATTATAGTGGTCATTTCCTGATCCTCCTCGAGTACCATTATCCCTATTGCGCTTGCCAGATTGATCACCATTTCGATCAGGACCATAGCCCCCACCACCACCTCCTCCTCCTCCTCCATACTTGCAATCCCTTCCCGCATACCTACCTCCTCTGCCCCTTCACTAGGACACTCCCTTGCAAAATGCCCAGGCTTGTCACACTTAAAGCACTCTCCACCTCCACCTCCACCTGCGGGTCGACCACCATAGTCCCGATTTGTTGAAATTGTCCCACATCGGTTGTGGAATGGGCTGGTGGTCGATTTATAAATGTGAGGGAAAGCCTCACCCTTTAATTTAGCTTTTGGAGCGAGAGAGGCCCAAGACCACCCAACACTGGTATCAGAGCCCAAGGTTGCCAACAAGTCTTGACCCAATAGTCACATGGGAGAGTTACGGGTTGTTGCGGTTCCGACCCAGGCCCGATATGTGGGGGAGATTGTTGAGGTTGTTCTACATGGATTGTGGAAGGGGCTGGTGGTCGGTTTATAAATGTGAGGGAAAGCATCACCCTTTGAGCTAGCTTTTGGGATGAGAGAGGCCCAAAACCACCAACACTGGTATCAGAACCTAAGGTAGCTAACAAGTGTGGACCCAATAGTCACATGGGAGAGTTACGGGTTGTTGCGGCTCCGACTCAGGCCTGACGTGCGAGGGGGAGATTGTTCAGGTTGTCCCATATCGGTTGTGGAAGGGGCTGGTGGTCGGTTTATAAGTGTGAGGGAAAGCCTCACCCTTTAAGCTAGCTTTTGGGGGTGAAAGAGGCCCAAGACCACCTAACAAGGGCCACAGTCACGACCATGATCACGACTGCGATCACCATCTTGGCTCCACGGGTGAGCTTTTTACACAATGATATTTCTCCCATCCAAGTTCATCCCGTTCATAGCCTCAATAGGCTCATCCATTGCTTGCTTCTCATCAAAAGTTACAAAACCAAATCCACGAGAGCGTCCAGAGAACTTGTCAACCACCACCTACATTAAAAATATTCCTCTCGGAGTTAGTTTGTATTATATGACGGGAAAACCAAATTGTAGATAAGAGCACCACCAATCCAAAACTTGGTGAGTTCAGCCGATGAATACGGAGTATCAGCTCTGATCCATCCAAAAAGTAATACTATTAGCCTCCAAAACTACCAAAAGAGAGATTCAATTCGAATCCAACCAGCGACCCTGTCAGGACTCTCCTGAACGGAAGTCAGGAAGTGGGTTTAGAGGTAATGTTGATTTGTGGACGAATAGTCCTCAATCGGCGTGGGTTCTCCAAAACCCTTACCTCGCGTGGCGTTGGGATTTTCATTTTAATTTGATTAACCTTATGACAATTCTATATAAGGAGTCTCCACTAGCCTATTGGGGTCGGCTAGAAACCAAGTGAAGTATGGCAATATATCTCACTTCCTATGCAACCTAAAATCTAGGGTTGGGAACTTAATTACACTAGTTATCTCCTAGTACGCTTTCGGTACCTAAACTTCATTATTTGTCAGCTAAGGTGTTCACGTAATCTTTTTACCGTATGAATTCTAAAGTTCTTGTCTGCTAAGTGTCCACGCAATGTTTTTGGTGTTTATTATGATCCTAGTGTATGGCCTAACCATCCAACTAGGCTAAACGAAATAAGAGAAACTCAATCAGGGATATGACATAGAAGAACGAAAACAAACACATCAAAAGCAATAACAAAAGGGAGAGTAAAAGGTGAAGTGCAGTAAAGTAACCCGATACGAGTCGAGCAAAGAATATAACATGGCATTGTTATTAAGCCCCAAGATAGCAACCGTTTGAGCTTGATTTTAGAGACTTTCTTATCTTAAAATAAGTAATATGGACTCTCGAAACTTTTGGAGAAACAAGAAACCCCAGGTTGACACTTTGTCATCCTAAGTCGGGGCCCCAATCCGGCTTTAGCATAGTAAGTGCTCATTTAGTCCCTTTCGAGTTTCTCTTAGGTTATAATACTTTCCACGTTACCTATTCAATTATTTGAGGTGGATCCTAAATTTAACTAAGCTATTTACCATGATTTTTTTTTTTAAAGTGGTGTTTCTAAACTACTATTTCTTTATTTTTCGATCATATTCCTCAAACTAAATCTACTTTATTCATTAGAGCTAATCAGCTAAATTAATCCTAAGTGATCCTAAACTAAACTAAGAATCCACAATCTAATTGAAAATGCACTCGCAAATCAACAATCAATCAAGTAAGGCACGAATTACACTAAAAAACAAGAAAAGTATATGAGTTTTAATGAAGTGAAACCAAGGTAAAATACTAAAACCCAACAATCTTGTCAGACTTTTTTTTCAAACCAATTTTCCAATTTTTTTGTTTTCGGAAATTTTTAATTTTACTTATTTCTACTCTCCGATTCTCGGTCCTTAAGCAAAGCAAGCAAGCTCCTCCCCTGAACTTCTATTTCCTTTTTCCCACCTTCAGTTTTGAGCCTCAAAAAGACCAAGTTCAACAATTTCTCTAAAAAAACCAATTATTTACTTCTTTCCAAAGCGCACGAACTCACAATCTTTTCAGATTTAATTCTAGCATTTTCTTCCAATGTAAGCAAAGTCATCAGACCTGCCTTTTCACTTTCTTTTAGCTTTACAATGGCCATCAAACAAACCGTCATAAACTCAAGAACAACATCACCAGCATGAATGAGCCTGAGGCCAGCAAGCGTAAACCAAGTTCTAACAAATTTGTCTTGATGATGACATTGTTGGAACAACATAAAATTGATTATGGGGAGATTAAGCACGTCGATTGCTGGAAGCTGCAAGAATTAAAGAAGAGTCATAAAGACTTCAACATGGCTTCGTTTTCCTTCGACAGATTAAGCTGTTTTATTATCTTTCTTAATGATTGTGGGTTGTTATGTTTTCTTTATTAAATGTGATCATTGGCATTTGAGAACTTCAATTCCTATATAAAGGGACGAAGTCGTGAGTTGTAAATCAAGCCAAACACGAAGCCACAAAGAGAAAGCATTCTCAATAAAAAGGTCTCCCTCCAATAATTATTTGTGCTCTTATTCCAAGTTTCCAAAGTTTATTATTATTCTTTTGGTTCCAACAGACATGGTTATAAATCGCACATAAGCACACATTTAGAACACAGCACACTAAGTTCAACATCAATGTGAACGAATCAGATCCGACTCAGTTTCATACAAAAAGTCTTGGGCCAAATTCAGAAATCACTCAGAACCAAATTTTGTTGCATAAGAAAGTCAGAACTGAGACTTCGGTAATGAACTTCAAATTGAATGACTACTGGATTCACTCTTGAAGGGAGGAACCTGAACTCAATTGGAATTCATTTAATAGAAAAAAAAAACAAAGGAAACAATCTCCGTCAAATTTGAACTTAAAAATGCACTGAAATTGTTCGAGTATCTCATCAAGCACACGGCACCCATTCAGTCAGATGATCTAGATGCAGGAGAATATCAACGATTCACAACAAACACATCACCATGTCATCATGAAACACAAGCACACAAGCATCTGAGCATAGCTTTGTAATAGATCGATCGAGTAACGAAAAGCTCTCAGTCAAAATCTAAATCAAACCACATACTGATCTAATTGAGGAATTTTAACAAACAGATGGTCGGCGTCTCTACCATGAAGTCCAGATGCAGTAATGAAGCTATGATTCATCTTTAGACATCCACAATCCTCAGAATGTATTCAAATCATCAACAGAACCTTCATGACAAACGATTTTGACTCGAACCGTAGCTGAACTTCTTGGCTATGACCTTACCAAAAAAAAAATACTTCTCGGCTATGTTTTCACTCGCAATCATCTAAAACAGAACTAATTTAGTTCGATCTAGCAAATAATTTTTACCTGTGATGATTACTGATCGGATAGGAATGAGGCAAACACAAGAACGACTTCAAGGACAGGAATCAACAAAACAAGTAGAAATGACCACTTCACGAGCTCTTTGGTGATAGTGACTGCGAACAGAAGCGAACAGAGTCTCCGGTGAGCACAACGGTTATCAGTAGCCATGTCTATCGTCCTTGATGAAAAGGAGCTTCAGAAGCGAGGATGAAACTACAGGAAATACACAAGAAACGAGAAATCAGTGCCATGATTGAATCAAAAATCGAAAATAGAAAATCGGAGAATCCGAGAAAAACTCAGTTTCAGTTTCGCGCTCCCATCGGCACACATAAGTAACTATGCGTCCTTCCAGAGCAGAGGAGTGAATCGGGGGAGCCGCTGGTTGAGCACGACGAGAGCGTACGCCGAAGGAAGCCGGTCGTCGTTATCGGCGGATGCGGCGGCTGAGGTGAGGAGGGAGGAGGGGCAGTGGCGTATGACAGTCCATTTCTGCCAACGCGCCGCCCTCTCACGGCGCAGCACGAGGGAGCGAATCGGACAAGAGATCGCGCCGAGAGAGAGAGGGAGGGACCTGTTATGACAAGAGGTCGTCGTTATCTCCGATTCTGCTTTGCTCGCTTCGAACGCGCCCGGCAAGTTACCAAATAGTAACTATTTTTATTTTCTTTATTTTTGAAATTAATTTTGAAATAGAAATTCGTTTGGTAAATTTTTTGTTTCCGGACACAAATTTACAAAAATTTATTCCAATAATCAATTTTGGAACAGAATCAAGAAGCAAAAAAAAGTTACTTCTTGAATCTGGGAACAATAATAAAAAATGGAAAAGAATTTTTTTTTTCTTCTTTTTAGCCTGTGGCCGGAAGCCGGCAATCAGCCATAGGCCAGGACCGACGAGGGCGAGGGCTAGACACTTGCCGGCCCTGGCTTGTGTCCGATCGCCGACGCCGGTGACCTGGCCATGGCCAAGGAAGGGGAAGGAGAAAAAAAAATATTTTAAAAAATTTAAAATATTATTAATAAAATGAAATTTTATGCAGTTAATAAACGCATTTCTATTCTTTTTCTATTCTAAGAATAGAAATTTTTGGTAGTTACCAAACGCCTTCAAATGTTTAGAAATTATTCCCGGGCACGGAATAAAAAAGAATCATTTCTGAGTAGAATCAATTTTCGGAAACATAATGGTTGCCAAACGCATCCTTCACATCCTCACACGCACGCTGAAGCTTAGAGATCAAGGTGAGGGAGAGAGAGAAAGAAACTTGAAGAATGATCCTAAGACTTTATTATTATAATAATTAGGGAAAAAACCACCAAAAAATGCCAAACGTTGCCATCTGTGACACATTTACCCCGAACTTTTTTTTGTGACACCAAAAACCCCGAACTTTGCTTTTTGTGACACATTTACCCCAATGTATTTAGTCCATGGGCATTTTCGTCTTTTTTGCTTTTTCTTTTTTTTTCCTTTCCGGCGAGGGGGGGCCTCGCCGGCGTCGGGCGAGGGCGGCCCTCGCCAGATCGGGCGAGGGCGACCCTCGCTCGACGCCGGCGAGGGTCGCCCTCGCCCGATTTGGCGAGGGCCGCCCTCGCTCGCCCAGCGAGGGCGACCCTCCCCGACGCCGGCGAAGGTCGCCGGCGAAGGTCGACCTCGCTGGGCAAGCGAGGTCGACCTCGCCCGACTAGCGAGGTCGACCCTCGCACGCCGGCGAGGGTCGACCTCGCCTGAGTCGGGCGAGGGCCGACCTCGCTCGCCCAGGCGAGGGCAAACCTCGCCCGACGCCGGTGAGGCCCCCCCTCGCCGGAAAGGAAAAAAAAAAAAAGCAAAAAAGACGAAAATGCTATACATTGGGGTAAATGTGTCACAAAAAGCAAAGTTCGGGGTTTTTGGTGTCACAAAAAAAAGTTCAGGGTAAATGTGTCACAGATGGCAAAATTTGGGGTTTTTGGTGATTTTTTCCCTAATAATTATTGTATAATTTATTTTCTTATTTTTTGTTTAGAAAATATACTAAATGTGTCGACAAAAATTTAGTTGTCAACATATTTGCATCTAAGTGTTCAGTAATAATAAGTAACGATGATTCTTAGAGTCTAAAACCCCCTTATCAAATTAACATGTTCGGTCAAATCACGGATTCAGTCTCCGTGCAAAACTAATATGGTTCTTCCACGAGAAAAGGTAGCACAAGGAAAATGTTTGTACCCTTCACAATCTGCCCCTTTTACAATTGCTAGGTTGTCAGGGTTTCAAATTGATATGCATAAGTTTAGCCAGAACTATGAACTTTTCTTTGGTCCTCCTCTCATGTCAATGACAGATCTGTTCTGTCGACTATCCTTTCCTAAATCTAGGGGTGTCAGAAATACAGCTTTCCACACATTTTCCATCACTAGATCTGTTCTGTCGACTATCATTTCATATATCTAGGAGTGTCAGAAATACAGCTTCCCACACATTTTTCATCACTAGATCTGTTCTGTTGACTATTCTATAAAAAGAGTCTACAATTTTGTAATAGATGACACAAATCCAATATGGAGATAAGAGCACCAATCCAAAACTTGTTGAGTTCAGCCAATGAACACGGAGGATCAACTCTGATCCATTTAAAACGCAAGACTAGTAGCCTCTAGAACATGGAGGTATGACTTGCCTCACTCTGTTAATAGAAATGATGCTTTGAGCTTCGTAACTGAACTAGTAATGCCTCCTTGGCTTCTTTGGAGAGAGAGAAATAGGAGAGCTTTCGAGAGTCTCTGTTTGTTTTTTTATGTATGTAATGAACAGATGGTTACAGGTTTTGCAATATCAATTACTGAAAAATCACTGTTTAAGTGTGGATAGTTTGTTAGACTTTGTAGACTCTCTTTCTCTGTAATTTTTGTATAGGGGCGGTACCCATTCACTCGCAAACTTGAACAAATTAACGCCTCCTTCACTCACAAACTCAAACACAACAGAGGATTTCTCACATGCAACTGATTGAATGGACAAATTGAGATGTCTTAGCTGTTGACTGACATAAGAATCATGAATGTGGAATATACAGTCAGGAATCAAACATCAAGAACCAAACCAAGTCTACAACTCAGCAAGTAATTCCTATAATCCAATCCCAGTGACTATGCACAATGACGTGCAGGATGATAAGGCACTACACAATGTCGAATAATCATCTGCTCACTTAAAAAGGTATTTATCTATTGAGCTTCGATGATATGTACTTTCAAGTCCCGTTATCCTCTGTGCTCCATAAACATGAATACATGATAGCAGCTTTGGAATTGAATTCTCAAAGATACAATAATGCTAAAAGATGAAAATAAAACATGAGGAAGGTATTCATTAGGTCTGATCAGAAATCATAAAATGGCATCTTATAAAAGGCAACACATGCTTGGTCAAGCTGGTAACAAGACATTCTCTCCTTCCCTACGAGGGGATATAATACATCTCTAATCTCAACGAGAAACAAGCAAATGTAAAACTGAGAAAACTAAAGAAAACAATGCAGATATTTGGTAACTGAGATTACAAAAAGGCTAACCTATGAAGAGAGTTTTATCCATTCAAGGATTGAAATTAGCTTCTACGGGAAAGGATATTATAACTTACAAATGATGTAAGAAAGAATTCGGAACGTAATTACTAATTCTGATTCACATGCAGAGAACAGTAGGGAATAGATAATGCCTCCTAATCCATTCCAAGTTACCTACAGAAACTCTTTTGTTGTTAATAAATACCACTGCACCAGAACCAGGTTCTTCGATGAAAGTTCCATCTACCACATACAAAATAATTCAATCTTACACAGAAAAAATTGGGGAGTAGGGGGGTGTGATACAGTAAATTTTCACAGTAGGGATTTCAAACTCGCTACCTAATAATACCCACACAAGTCTATGATGTGCTAACTAATACAGTAAATACAAAGTTCATTTGTTGACACCAATTGTTGATTTTGAAATTCCTGCTCACAAATGTAAAGCATAGAGAACTATTCATCATAGTCTATGATGTGCTAACTAATACAGAAAAATTCATTAAGCTTTTAACTAACTGATCCTTGCTGAGAACTATTATTCATAATCTAAAGAATGCACCTTCAATTTCGGCATTTCCGAGCTTGAGCTGCTTCTACTATTGCTTTGCCTACAGGATGGATTGCATTTGATTCTACTGCAGCAGCAAATTGAAGAACCTCAACTTCTGACCTTGTGTCATCTAAATTATGTATGTATCAATGACATCTAAACAGTTACTTACCCTGTCAATAGTAATAACAGCTCATGCATACAGCACTTCAGATGAATCATCTTTCCCAGTGCCCCAATGTGATACAGAAGTAATAAGCAAGGCTAAGTAGACGTACATTGAGCAATCATTCATTTTCTTCTCAGAAACGTGCATGCATGATGGAGAATGCACAACAAAGTTCCCTAGCTTGTCTTGTACATAGACTAGGTAAAGATCTCCAGCGGATTTATGCAGCTGAATCATGGTCAACTAGATTGAAGATGTCTCAGTAACATTTAGTGTCACTCGAACATCCTCAATCCTCATCAGGGTAATCCTGTAAAGGAAAAAAAAGGGTCATCTTATGGTAAAAATGATGAGGCCATGCAATAATTGTGTGTAGGATTAAGCAAGCAGCTCCTTATCCAAGCAATTAACAGTTCTCAAGAATTAAATTTTATAGGAAAACAGTTCTTTGAATATTTTCATTGCAATAATCATCCACTTCCCTTTTCTAAAGGGTGCAGATCCTAGATTAGAGAATATGAAGTATTTCACCTCAAAGGAATTATGTTCTTACTGATCCTGCGTATAAAAAATTGGCGCAAGAGCAATCGAAATGTAAATAATAGCTTCCTGACATTAAAATCATATGGTTCACATCAATCTGACTGCAAAGCACATTATTCATCCAAGTTTGGCTACATAGCGTGAAGTATTGACCACAATGAGAAACATCAACCCTTTTTCTTCCCAATTGAAATTCACAAGCAAAACATGGAAGCAACCTTTTCTTCTCCATTTATGACGGAAGCTATGTTCTACCTAAAACAATATCATGCACAAAAAGAATGCAGGTAAGTTGAATCAATATATTATTTAAGCGACCTTGTCTCTGCTCAACCTGGAATCTATTTGTTGTGTGCATGCAGGATTCACAACCTTTGTCACAACAGGTTTGCCAACCATTAAGGTCCCGGTCTTATCAAACACAATTGTTTTTACCATGGAAAACTTGTCCAGACACTTCCACCTCGTAAAAGCAAACCTTTTGTTGCT